CACAGTTTAGAATCCTTATTAACAATCCAGAACAGTCTAAGAACTCAAAAAAATACCAAAACCATACTTTAAAAAAAAATCCCGCAAGTTACTATGCAAGAGAGCTTGCTCTCAAAATGAGAGAGCAAGCTCCTTACACAAGGGAGTCGGCTCCCTAACCTTGGGAACCAGTTCTGTGACCAAGGGAGCTGGCTCCCTAATTCTATGGAGTTGGCTCTCTCTCACAGAGTGCTGTGGGTTGAAAAATAAAAGGAGCCGGCTCTTTCCCCTTAGGAGCCAGCTCTATCCTTACTTTCTGTCATCGTCTTCATCTCCGATGACATTAAAAACTCTGTAAAATCTTTAGTTTAAGTTCCTAAAGGTCTGACTAAGTCCCAAATTATCCAGAAAAATCATATAAACTCAGTAGTATCGTTACAAGAATTAAAACAGAATATGCAACGATTTGATCAATAATTAATTTTCAGTTAATCAACACATATAATACAGTTTAAAATATGAATTAACATGCATACATAACCAATTTTAATATCCGTTAAGTTCCTGGAGACTACCTAGGCATGCACAGAACATAGGTCAACGAGAGAGAGTAAGAATAAAACTTGTCTCTAGGTTTCGAATTGAAACCTTTAACTTCTTCTTCCTAGTTTTTTTCCGGTGATCCTTGGCCACCGTCCAAGCCTCTTACTACTCTAGTTCTAACCCTTGAACAACATTCAACCTTCCTCCTTGGTCCGACCTTCAATTTAAGGCCAAAACTCCCAACTATTCCTCTCAAACCCCTCTGTATTTTCCCCTGCCTCCACTCCTACGTGACTAGGGTTCTAAACCCTTGGCAGACAAAACATAAATATTTATAGACTTATTCCAAACCTAATTCTAACCCGATACTAAGTCAGCTAACACAAAAGAAAATAAAATAAAAGTAAAATATAACTACACACATATATTACCCTAAAAATATATATATATATATATATATATATATATATATATAATTTATAAGTGTATATATATATATATATATATATATATAATCTCCCAACATAATATTACTATTATTAACATTAAAATAAATAAATAATAATAATAACAATACTTTATCCTTTTAAATATATATACTCACGTATATATATTCAACGAACCATATACGGGTAATTATTCGTACCCATAATCAACCTCTATGCAAGTAGTCCATGAGACCTAACTGTTGGTCCATTACTACTATCTAAATCCCTCCTTTTAAACTAAAAATAAAATAAAACACATATTTAAACTAGTAACTAAAATTACTTTTAAAACAACACATCCTTTAGTTTTTAACAAATAATCATACAACAATTAATTTAAAAACACTTAAGCACACACTTAAAAATAAACAATTAATTCATTTAAACACATAACATAAATCCACATATACACATAGCCACGTAATCACTAAAAATGCACAAGAAATAAAAATTTTAATTCCAATTATATCCTTTTGAAAACTAGGAGTATTACATCTTCAACGTTGGAGTTCTAGCCATGTTCTAGTCTTTAATCTATGGAGTCCTCACCAAATGCAAATTTTCAATCAAATGTTGAACGTCCCATGTCAATGACCCGATTATGAAGGGAAATAGCATGCCCAAATCCAATATGTTGTCAAATTTCGATGAGTCACAAGCACTGACAATACTATGACGTCGTGGGAGTCGCCGACGCTTTTGATACTGACGATGTCTCGATTGGGCGCTCCTAGTAATCCTTCTCTCTGTTATAATCCCTAACTCTGGTTAGTTATATATATATATAAGTTCAAAAACTACGTCGTTTTTAAGTAAGGATTATATAAGTTTAAAACTACGTTGTTTTATAGTATGGGCAAAATTATCATTTACCTTCTCTGGTGACCACCACTCTCTCTCTATATATATATATAAATATATATATATATATATATATGAAATTACATGTACATTAGGAGTTTGATATTTCTCCAACCAATACTGGCATATTGCTACTTTCATAATCCATTTATATCATAGATCAAGTGTGTAACTCCAATTATAGATTGAAAGACTTCAAATTATGTTTTCAAATAAATTCTTAATGAGCCTCTTCTGCACACCTTGTCAGCAAGACCTCAAAATCTAAAAATTCAATCATTCAATAAGGTCCCTTTTTATGAAATTTCATATACCTTTGGAGTTTGAAATTTCTATAATCAATATAACTTACTATAACGGGTGGGCACTTGCCCATTTACTCAAAAGATTAAGCTATTGGGTAGTGCTGCATACTCACCCATTTATACCCCTTTCACTCCCTATTCGAATCCGATGTTGGACAATTACCCCTTATAACATTCTCCCCCACCCGAACTCATAACGCTCTTATTGCGGTCGGGCCACCCTGCCTACCCAGGTGGCTCACCCAAAAGCCTTCCGAGCGAGGCACTTGTTGTAGTACCAAATCAAGAAATGGGTGTGGCTTTGATACCAGCTACAATGGATAGGTGCTTGCCCATTTACCCAAAAGTTTAAGCTATTGGGAAATGTTTCATACTCCACCCATTTATATCTTATTCATATACTCTCCATCCGAATCCGATGTGGGACAATTACCTATTATAACACTTACTTTGTACTTCCATAATTTTAATATGTATGTCACATGGTATGGGTGTGAAAATTATAACTTTTCTTACCTTAATGGTGGATAATAATATAGTTCCAATGTAGATACAAAGACTTAAAATTTTATTTTGCAGCCAAATTTCTCTCCTACACCAGAAATTGACCAACCACCCTGTCCTCAGATTTCCCTTCTCTCTGTCTCCATAGTAAAGATAATTAAAGGCATGTTAATTCTTTGCCTTTTCAATAGTACCCTTATTCAATGAGCAAGTAAATCTCAGCCTTAGGCTAGCTTGGTTCATTATTCTAAGAGTAATTTTCATAATTAAAAGGGTTAAGTGCAAAAAACTCCCTTGCTATATAAAAAATGTGCAAAAAACACCCTTATTAGAAAAAAAAAATGCATATAACTCCCTATATTATCCATATTTTGAGTAAATTGCCCCATATTTAATAAATCTTATGACAAATAGCCATTTGTGATGTCATTTTTTTCTTAAAATCCAAAAGTACCCTTTTTGTGCCCCTACCAATTTTGTATATATTTGAACAGTGAATGGGTTTATTTAGATGTACTTGAAGACCTATCCAAGGAAATCTCTCTCTCTAATATTATTTTTCTGTCTCTAAAAAATATTTTTATGTTGCCGTTTAACAATTTGTTTCCAAGAAGTCATCATTTTAATTTTTTAATTTTTATTTTTTTATGATACTATATTTTATTTGATATGTCAAGTGAGATTGTGGAATCTGTACATCATTTTTTATTTTTTTATTTTTTTAGAATATTATTTTTTTAATATATATATATATATATATATATATATATATATATATATATATATATAAGCATGATCTTTCCTGCAAATATTCTTTTCTAATTCTATAACTTCTATATATTTTCCTTCCATTCCTAGAACTCTCCTTCTATTGGAAAATATAATATCTCTTTAAATTTTTTTACCCTTTCTCTAAAATTTCTCTATGTCGTTGATAGTGAGTATCTTTCTCTAAAACATAGCAACTGGAATCAGCAAGCCCCAAGAAATTTCATGGTATTAGCGGAGAGCCAGAGAGCACAACCAAGAAGATGTTGCTTGAACCCTCCAAAAAATTAGCAATCCAATTCCAATCTCTTCAAAAAGATGAAGAGATCGAAAAAATTAAGAACCACTTACAAATTTTTGGTATAAATATATAGAAAACATTAAAAAAATATAGGGATATATAAAAAATAAAGGGAAAATTAGATAGAAAATTACTTCTTGTATTCAGATGAGGCCACATCAAAGCAATATTAGGAAGTTTGGATCAATTCTATCAGTATTTTCTTTTGTGTGGACTTGTTTAGTTTTTATCAGCAAATTTTTACACTTACATATTCCTTCTTCAAAATTTAACTTTGAGCATGAATAAAACATGGCATTCCTTACTAGTTAAGCAATGTTGTCTCAATTTTTTTGTAAATATTTGGGTTTATTTACGGATATGGAATAAAAGATAAGACTGGTGGGTGCATAGTTAAGTAGTGATTTTATTTTATGAAGCATATATAATTATATAAAGTATTATTATGTTATAGCAGACGAAGAAGAAAAATATGAATTTAAGGTTAATTTTGACATTTTACCTTTTTTTTCTTTTTATTTATTTATATATTTTTTGTTAATGATAAAGTAAGGTTAATTTAGTAATTTTACTGCTAAAATTATGATTTGTCCTTATTTGCACAAATTGTTCATGGATTTTTACCAAAATCTGGTGTGAATATGGAAAAGTACTATTCATTTGCCCAAACTATCCTTATTATCTTCAGCACTACTTTTGTGTGTGTAAGTACTACTTTTGTGAAAATAGGTACCATTTTTGTGTAAACCAAGTAATCAAAATGATTTGGATAAAAAGTGATATATTTATGCACAAAAGTGGTATTTACATGCACAAACGTGGTATGGTACCTCTATACAAAAGTGGTATTTACTTATATAAAAGTGATACATTTGTGCATAAAAGTAATACATATGATTACAAGAGTGATACCTTTGATCACAAAAGTGGCACTTATATGCGCAAAGATAGTACTTACATACACAAAAGTAGTACCCAAAGATACTAAAGGTAGTTTGAGTAAATAAATAGTATTTTTTCATGTCCACATCAAATTTTAGTCAAAGTTCATGAATTTGAAAAATGTTAACTTTGACTCCATCTCTAGGTAATAAAACATCTCAAAGTCCATTTTTTTTTATAATTTTTCCAAAATTATATTCAAATTGTTGAACCAAGCATAACCATACTCTTTCATCCAACACATTTTCATTCAATTCAATTCCAAGCATATATATATATATATATATGTCCACTTCAATACTACCCTAATTCATTTAATGTTCTCTCTCCACCCTCTTCCAATAGCTTCATGTCTTCCATGCCCACCTCCCCTTACTTTTTTCATTGATATATCAGTGTTGGTTTGCTCTCTTGTATTGATATTCAGATGACCCATCTTTTTAAAAACCCTCCTTTCCCTCTCTACCCATCTCTTACCTAACACATAAATCTTCCAACATGTTCTTGCGTCTTCAAGATCTAAACAAACCCATTAGCATACACCTTCCATAACACAACTCTTCCATATATGGATCTTGTGATAAAAAACTACAATATCCATGGATCCCAACCTCTCTCTCCCAACAAAACCCCACCAAGCTCAATCTTTGGCACTCCTTTGCATTCTTCTCCCACAAGTTTCCCAATCATAGCCATTGCCATTATAGGCATCTTAGCCACAGCTTTCTTGTTAGTCAGCTACTATATCTTTGTCATCAAATGCTGCCTAAATTGGCACCGTATCGATCTTCTGAGACGCTTTTCTTTCTCAAGAAACCGACACCGCGAAGATCCACTAATAATCCACTCTCCAGCAATGGAAAACCGAGGACTAGACGAATCAGTGATCCGATCAATCCCAATATTTCAATTCAAGAAGAAAGAAGAGAAGGAACAAAGCCAAACAAGTAGGTGTGAGTGCGCGGTTTGCTTGAACGAGTTTCAAGAAGAAGAGAATCTAAGAGTCATACCAAACTGTGGCCATGTGTTTCACATAGATTGTATTGATGTTTGGCTGCAAAGCAATGCCAATTGCCCACTTTGCAGAAGAAGCATTTCAGCTGCCACAACATCATCATTTGCAGTGGAACAACACAATACAGCTCCGAGCTCTTCAAGTACTCAAGATCAAGAAAACAACTTAGAAAATGATGAAGAATTTGTGGTCATTGAGTTGGGAGAGCTAAGCAATTATAACGAATCGTCGCTTGGGGAGCAAGAAAGATCAAACTCAGGAGAATTATGGGCGCCATCAAGTAGACGTTTCGACAAAGTGAAGAGACTCAATCATGTTCCGAGTATAGGTGATGAATGTATTGATATTAGACACAAAGACGACGAGTTTTCAATCCAACCCACGAGGAGATCTTTTTCGATGGACTCAGCTGCCGATCCACAGCTTTTTTTAGCAATTCAAGAACTTGTACAACAGAAGAGACATGTTAGTGAGGTTAGCTCAGTTAGACGGTCCTTATTCTCATTTGGGCATGGAAGGGGATCAAGAAGTACAATTTTGCCAATTCATTTGGACCCATAAAACCCATGTTCTTCTTTTCTTCATTCTAAATTAGGTCTAAATTATAAATTTTTTTGGGGTAGTTTTTATTATATAGATATAGAGATTTTAGATTTATCATGAACCAATATAGGTCAGTATGTGTTCTTTGTAAACAGTATTTAATTGGTATTGGGAGACTTAGATGTATTTGATTTTTGGATTTGTCTTGAAATGAGACCAGGAAGTGCAGTTTTACCAATCCTGCTCTTCTTTTTGTCATTATGCATTAAATTATTTCTCAATTCAAAATTCTTATAGATATAGAGATTTTAGATTTATTATGAACCTTTATGGGTCAGTTTGCGTTCTTTGTAAACAGGATTTAATATAAATTGAGAAGGATAGCGGTATTAGATTTTTTGGAATTGTCTTGAAATGTGACCAAGAAGTACAGTTTTACCAATTCATTTGTACCCATAGACCCATTCTTTTATTATTATTATTAATATATATATATATATATATATATATATATATATATTGGTGGGGGGTTTAGTTTTTATGATATAGATACTGAGATTTTAGATTTATTATGAATCTAAATAGCTGTATTTGATTTTTGGAATTGTCTTGGAATGAGATCAAGGGATTTTCCAATCTAGTATGTTCCAATTGACTTGCTGTCATGATTACAGGCATCATTGCTTGACCTAACTTTTTTCTTACTTTTCTTTTTTTCTTTTTTGGTTTGAATTTCCATTAATGATTCAACTGAATGATTGTGCCTTTGGAAAGAGAGAGAGAGAGAGAGAGAGAGAGCTAAAAGCAAGAATTTAATATAAAGAAGAAAAAAGGAGAAGTTGAGAGGGACAGTTTCCTTCCTTTGAAATAAGAGGTGGAGAAGGGGTCCATTTTACTGAAATAGTCACAAAAACCACCAATTCTTTGTCAATACTATTTGTTTTGGTGATGGAATGTATGGTTCTGGTTTGTGGTTGATTCTTGTTCTATGTTCACACTTGTTTCCAGCCTGGAAGAATAATCCATCAGAGATTGAGTAGGAGGCATATCACTTACCTACCTATTATTAATTCATATAATAACGTGTTTGATAAATTTTATCGGTTTATTTTATGGTAATACGTTTTAAATAAATAAAAGATTATGGAAAACATTTTACATGAAAAAGTCCCATTTTCTTCTTTTTTGCGGTGTCTGGTTGAAAATTTTGAAAGTAATTCAAGTAAATAAATAAATAACAAAAAAACTTGCATATATATTATAAATGTAAATAAAAAAAATGATATTCCTTTTATATATATATACACACTAGTGACTTTAAATTCTTGAATGGTTTACAAACTCTGAGTATGCATATAAAAATACTGTCATAAATTGTTTTTGGCAGCATATATTTTTGTCTGCCACTAAAAAATTGGATTACAGCTGCAATTTAATTCTTTTTTCTTAAAATTTTTTTTTAAGACAACACGTTTAGGTATAAGTGCAGAAATTTCGTTTAACTAAGAAAAATCAAAGAATAGAAGCAAATACTCAACGAAATCACAACTCAAATAACAGAGTATAAATTAAGGTTGTGTATCTCTTTATTGGAGGTCTCTGTCTTTATATATAATAAACTGTTACCCACAAAACTAGGGTAGGACTTGCAATATTGCTCGTCTCCCACGTTCTTTCTTTGCTACACCGTTTCTTAGTGCTCGCTCCCGACGTTCTTTCCTTTTTACATAGTTTCCTTACAGATCTTTCTATATTTAATCACATCAGTTACAACAATAATGGGTTCCTACTCTTCTTGGATATATTATGTCCATATGGATTGGGCCGGCCCTTTTGCAAGCTCGTTGTTTGGACTAGAGACATGTCCATTTCAATGGGCTTAGGCTTTGACTATGGGCATTAAGGCTTTTAGACCCCGATGGTTGGTTTGGCTTGTGGTTGCTGTTTACGTGGCGTTTTTCGTGATGTGGCATGTTTTTATTGGAGGGGAGATTTTTCCCTCCATACTTTGCCCCAATTTCCTTTTAGATTGGGTAATGGTCCCTTATTTTGAAGGAAATTAAAGTAAAGAGTATTTTGAAGTTTAAGAAACGATTCGCATTTGCAAAGGTTTAGACTTCGCTTGGTCGACTTTCTTTTCTGGGTCTAGGGTTTGCATGCATTACTACTTTTGAGATACTTCGCCATCTGCTTCACGATTTCTTGTTGGTCTGTTTCCATATAGTATTTTTCTTGATTTCAGTCATGACTTCGAATATTAGCGCAAATCCCTTGGATAGCACTGACATCAATCCTGAGTCCACGCCCTCTGTATCTCCCATCCTGATCCGTTCCACTCTCCATAAGTCTTCTAGAATTATTTCTCCGTTTATGGATCCTCCAACGAGAGAGGAGGAATCTTCCTCTCAGGCCGAGGTATCTACTTCTGGGTCTAATAGATCCTTTTTGGAAGCCGAGAGGGATGTGATTTTATCTCTCCCCGTAGAACCGTTGTAATCGATTCTCTCATGTAGGAGTTTGAGATCCCTGAGGGGGTTGAGATTTATGCATACCCCTTGAATTTAGATTTCTGTTCAGGGGAAGGAGTAGGGGAAAATGAACTACTACTCTCCGTTAGTCATTTACATACTCTACGGTTTCCCCTTCATCCCTTTTATCGTCTTGTTTTTAACAAATTAGGGATTGTTCTGCTCAAGTGAACCCTAATTTCTTCCGAGTCTTGTCTTCCCTCTTAGTTCAACAGAGGTTAGAAGGTATTAACTTAAATTTTGCCAACCTTCTAGTTAGATATAAGATCTGTAAACATCAGGGCGAGATATGTAGATACTATCTTTCTTCCCCCCTTAAGCAAATAATTTGTGTAGATTTTCCACTTCCGAAAAGAGATAGAAGGAGGTGATGATTGTGGTCAAGGGAAATTGGAGTGTCCCTCAATTCAAAGAGCTCTCTATCCCTCATAAATTCGGGAAAATAGGTATTGAAGAGCTTCCCTTTTTTTCATTCTGACTATTCCGGCTACCGAGTATTGTTTTTTCATCATATTTAAGAATTTCTTAGTGTTGTTTCAGTTTCGTTCCCTACTTTGATCGTTAAGAAAAGACTTTCCCTTCTCAAAACGAAGGTGTGGAAGGATCATCCTTTAGTGAAAACTTTTTTGTCCTCAAAAAATTTTATAGATATATCTTGCATCGAGTGCTTCAACAGTTACAACCATGGACTTGTCACTTCCTGTCTTCGATGATTTTGAACTTATTAAGGACGAAATAAGAGAGCCGAGGAGTTCAAGAAGAAAGAGGCTGTGAAGGAATCACTGGTGGTTGTTTAAACAACCGAAATTATAGAGGAAGATGATAATGTTGCCCCTTTGAAGAAGAATGTGAAGAAGACTCCCCCTCACCAGGCCGAGGGCAAAGGAGTTAGCATCCAGAAAGACAAATGCATAGCATTCGAGAGGGGAGCAAATGAAGAGGAAATTCCTGAGTTTTCCATGGCCAAGAATGGTGAACCATGGTTCCCAACTTTCTCCAGGGATGAAAAATCTGTCCTTCATTCAAGGGATTTCGTGATGAAAGATCCTTTTGCTGCCCTTGTTGTGGCTAGGGGAATGTGGTTCCCGTAGGACGAATTGCTAATAAGGAAGATGAACTTGGGGGAGCTTCTTTATGTTGCCCCTATCCGGTTAATTAAGGTAAGGAATTTCCTTGACTTTGGTCTAATTATTTGCTCATCGTTGCTCATACTTAGCTTATTGGCTTACTTTTATCTGCCCTTTCCTTTACTGCAAAGCTTATTTTATACAATGGCTTTGTATGCTACTGTTGAGGAGCAATCCTCTCTCGATTAAGAAGTTGGAGAAAGACCTTGCCGAGGCTGGGAAAAAGGCCGCTGGATATGACAAACTGAAGACGGAACTTAGGTTTGCCAAGGATGATAAAGATTTCTTCAAGAGGCAGCTCAAGGTTTCTGAATGACGAGTTAAGGAGCTTGAGGCTGAAAATCTGCAGTGGAAGAATTATGTCCAAACTTGCATCTCAACAGAGAAACAAATGCAAGAACGTTACTCTAAGATTATTTGCTCGAGGAATGTCAAGGCCTTCAGGTCTAGCTTCAGTCATGGCTTTGGGGAGAGGAAGAAAGTTCCTAAGGCTTATGACCTAGAAATGCAAGTCTTTTTTCCTTATAAAGATGAGCCGAAAGAAAAGGAATAAGATGTTCTATTTATTGAAATGGTAAAGGGTAACACTCCTGACCCCAAGGCTCCTAGCTCTTCTGCTCCTACTGGTCACAACGTGGTTGCCTTCCGCTCCATGCCTATTGATCCCAAGACAAAGTAGACTTTTTTTGGGGCTTTAGTTTTTTCATCTTGTTCTTGTAACAATCGGTGTATATTTTTGTATGTTTTGAATAGTATAAACAGTATATACTCTATGGTGGGCTTTTTGTCATGCCGTTTTTGTCAGTTGCTTTTTATATGCTATATATCCATTTACTTCTGTGTAGGACTTTATATATATATATATATTCCTCAGCACTCTTCTGTGCCTTAGAGTATTTTTAATAAAAATTTAACCTTCGGGCTTCTTTGAGTCCGAGGTAATTTTCTTATGTTCCTCGGCACTTTCTTGTGCCTTAGAGGGTTTTTTTTATGAAGATTTAACCTTTGGGCTTCTTTGAGTCCGAGGTAAATTTTTGATGCTTATGTTCCTCGGCACTCTTCTATGCCTTAGAGGATTTTTGGTGAAAAGTTACCTTTAGGCTTCTTTGAATCTGAGGTAATTTTCTTATGTTTCTCGGCGCTCTCTTGTGTCTTAAAGGATTTTTGGTGAAAAAGTACCTTCGGGCTTTTTTGAGTCCGATGTAATTTTTTATGTTCCTCAGCACTCTTTTGTGCCTTAGAGGATTTTTTATGAAAATTTAATCTTAGGGCTTCTTTGAGTCCGAGGTAATTTTCTTATGCATATGTTCCTCTACATTCCTTTGTGTCTTAGAGGATTTTTGGTGGAAAGTTACCTTCGGGCTTCTTTGAATCCGAGGTAATTTCCTTATGCTTCTCGACACTTTTCTGTGCTTAAAGGATTTTTGGTGAAAAATTACCTTTGGGCTTCTTTGAGT